AAGATTATAAAGTTCAAGAACCAAATTCAGATTGAAAATGAAGACACTAGGAGGATATAGGATATTCCAGTAGACTTCCTGGCAAAGAAATGTTTGAGAAGTTTTAGGGATGTTGATGTTAAATTTTGAAGCTAATAGTAACAGATAAACATTTGCTATAAGTGCTTTGTATTTTATTAAACTCACTTTAGACAGATAGTTGGATTATCTTCATTTTACAGTATTCTGATTATTCTCATTTTTGTTAAATTTTGAAGCTAATAGTAACAAATCAACATTTGCTTTCAGTGCTTTGTATTTTACTAAAGCCACTTTAGACAGGTATTTAGATTATCTTCACTTTACAGTATTTGGATTATTCCCTTTTTTCAAATCCAAAGTGGAATTCAGAGACAGCAAAAAAACTTAATTGGATGTACAGAGACAATAACTGGGAGAGATAGGGCTTCTATCTGGGCTGCTCAACTTCAGTGTCCACTTAGAAGATCGACCAAGGCAGACCAACAGTATGGTCACTGAGTTCTGAGATCCCGAACTTGGGTGGCTATTCCCTGGGTCTCTGATTTTCCTCTCCCAGTCTGAGCATTCATTATCCCTTATCCTGTTCCTTCCCATTCCCTGAAACAAACCCATTCATAATTATGTTGTGGGTGTGGAAGGAAGTAGTTCTCTGTGCTGTAGAGAGAGAAGAGAATATGCAGGAAGGGGGCCACTAATTAGCTGGTCCCAGCCCCTCACTAGGCTGGCATGGTTCCTTCAATTTGAGGGCTTCAAGGCAGGGGCCAGGCTGGGCAAAGAACAATAAGTCATGGAGGTGATGCTTTTAATGATACATTCGCTAATGAAAAGGCACTCCATGGGTTCACTTATTAGTAACTCGGCTCAAACAGCCATGTCCTACTGTCAGTTTGCCACTGAGGATTCAGTGTGACCTCAGAATTGTCGGCTCCACCTGAAAAAGAGCAAATGTAGCAGAAAATACAGAAGCAGCAGAATAATTTGGAGCGGGAAGATTAGCGACAACAGGGAAAGCTCTTCAATCCCTGCATTTCCAGTTTGCTGTGAAATTATGCCAGAAGTGTAGCTATTTGAAGAACAGGCTAACCTTGCGGTATCTGGGTTTGTGTCTGATTTGTAAACAATAGAATGACTTGATTGAATGTTTTTGGAGGCTGGATGACAGTGTTGGTATTAGAGGAGTGACTAGCACAAATCCATTCTCGACTAATTATAGTGTGCATCTTCCTGATGTTTTTTCAGGGCACCAGGGTTTTTAACTTTATGTTCAGAAAATGATTTATGGGGAAAATACTTCTGTACAGAGCTTGCTTGACAATCAGGGGATCATTAATGATATATGAATGTGAAAGTTTATGATACTTCCCATTTATGTAACCTCATTTGCTCAAATAACTCAGTGCCCTTTGCATCAATTATTGAATTACACCTTTTAATATTCCTCTGTCAAATGTGAAATGTGTATTTACACTTTTCCTGGTTGGACAGACAGGGCTGTGATAATTTGAAGGGTCTTCCTTCAGGGAGATCAGATCTTACACCCGTGTTTTGCATCCAAGGCTAAAGGCTACCCCCTAAATATACACTAATAAATAAATTTCCCTTTTTAAAAATCTCTGTTTACATTCTCATTAACAATTCATGATTCCTATGCATTTGGTACTTTCTTTGTGCAAAGCTAAACAAACATAGTTTTCTTGTTGTTAAGCTCTGATTGTAAAACTAGAAGTTTTCCAAGGTGAAACGAATTCCTAGCCTTCTTATAGCAGGCAATGTAACAGTTTTCATTCCCACCCTCATTTTCATGTGTGTTGGTGATAAAAATTATTGAAAGGACAATGCTTCTGAAGCTTAATCAGCAGTTTGAGTCAGAAAAGCTTTGTGTGTGGTTCAACCACGTTGGAGTTGATCCCTTTTTCATGTTGTGCCCTCGAAGACATTTTAGAACTTCCAGGTCCTTGTAACCTTCCACATGATCCACCAGCTTCTCACTTTGTCCCCTGTGATTTCTGAGTAATCAGCTCATTTCCCTCAGATTCTCAAGCAGCCCCATTCACCCGGGCTTCTGTTTCTTTCCTGCCTTTGGCTATCTAGTCACGAAGCCAAGCAGTAATGAAAATGGGTTTCATTAAACAGGAATCCTACTTATTTTCTCAAACCGCTATGCTAATAATCTCCCTTCTCAATATAAAGGCTTAAACACATACCAATATAACTAGTTTTTTTTCAGCTATTTTTTTTCTAAAGAAGATTATTTCCTGGGGATAAAAATATCTCTCTTCGAAATCCAGGACTTTGTTGTTAGAAATGAACATCTAAAGTGTATAGAGCTCTTTTTTTGCTCCAGAAGTGAATGGAACTTGAAACTCCTACCTTCTAGTAATTCAGTTTTTCAAATGACCAAGAAATATAAAGAGCTGAAACATTTCCTCACTAAAGTATGAATTTTGCAGACCCTTATGAATAAATCAAGATGGATATTAGAATGCAGGTATAGCTTGTAGGCAAATGAACATGAGTATTAGAAATATGATTTTTTTTTCTGGGACAACCGAAACATGTAGCGAGACATGCATAATATATAATAGTGAAGAAACAGTAAACCCACAGAAACTTGAACATATATTGTGTCTTTCTTGAAGAAAGCCCTCCCCACAGTACAATATCACCCTTCTTTCTTGGCAGGCTGCTATTGCAGACCCCACTTTGATTGGGGTTGGAGTTTGTCAGCTTCTGTAGTCTCATCTAATGACTGCAGTTTCTAGGTGAGTATCTAACTTCCCATTTTCCTAGAGCTCTGTTTTGAAATTGTCGTCCTTAGTGGTTATCTTGACATTCTGCATCACAGCCTCAATCTCCCTTTTCTTCCCCTTTCTGCTGTCATGAAGTTCCTGATCATCAGCAAGAAGTCAATTTTGACTTCTTTCCCCCATTCTCTGGAGCTTTTAAAGCTCTTTGCAAATACAAGGAGCACGACCCTGGAAATTTCTTTTCCCCAGAAAAAGAAAAAGCTGCACTTGTCAATCAGTCATCCTGAGCATGAGATCTCACAAAGGAACTCAGAGCAGCCCTTGTCGTAATCCATCAAAGTGAGGGTGGGTTGGGAGAAAAAGGGGGGTCAACTTAGTAAATAACTGTGATCAGCTGTAAATCTAGCTTCACTTATTACATATTTGCCTTCCATACTACTCCAAGAGCATAGATGCAAAAAAGAATGAAAGAAGACTAAACCCTTTGTTGGTGGACAAGATTGCAGAGCAAGGCATCTGATTAATTGCATTTATTGTTAATTAAATGTTACCCTATTTATGGAGAGAGTCTGAACAGAGCAGGGGTTTTGGTGGAGAGCACAGAAAGATGAATATTTCTTTTCAGCTGTTCACAATTCAGCAATTCACTCTGTACTGCTTTGTAGCTTTTTGCTGGTTCCTATATTTGTCTTATTTTTTAGTGAGCTGTCCATATAGTTATGCCACTCAGGATGTTATAAACAACTTTAGAATAGAAGTATTTTTTCCATTTTGGTAAAACCTTTAAAAATAGTTCAGATAGCAGCTACTCAATTATTTGCTGAATTGATCTGACTTTCCTTTGTAATATATTTTTCAAAATATTATATTGCCACCAACAAATACCCACTATGTATGTCAATGTCTGATGTACAAAAAAGAGGCCTGAAAAAGTGAAGTTAGTGTATACTTTGATGACTTTGATAAAATTTAAAAGTAAAACTTTTCCTTAAAACTCAAATGTTTGAGGGAGCAGGGATTTAGCTCAGTGGTTCTGCCACCTGCTTTCCAAGCGTAAGGTCCCGAGTTTGGCCTCTGGCACCAAAACAAAACAAACAAACAAACAAAAACCACACATGTTTGCAAAATGAAACCTAAGTCCTGAAATTTTATTTATGTTGATGTATATGTGTATACATATAGTGCACACATACACACACACACATATGTAAATATGCACACAACGTAACTGTTTATATAACTAGAAATGAGAAAAGCTAACACTGGATCATGCAGCATTGAAATCCTTTGGAAATATTAGAAATATAATTTGCAGAGATTAAACATGATTCAATAACACAAATTTATTCGGCACCTCCTAGCTTTACAAGGCTGCATGAGTTACTTAAAAGGTACAAAAATTAGGAAGCTAGAGAGATTGATGTTTTGCAAAATGGAAAGGGATCAAGAGATAGAGGGAGAGGAAGGAAATGGGATGAAAATATAATTAAGATGTGTTATGTACATGTACCAACTCCCCATAATGAATGTAATCATTGTGGACTGTAAATATGTACAAATAAAAATTAAAAAAAACAGGAAGTCAAAACTTGAGGCCCTACTTTGCTTCAAGCACTGTCATAGGTCCATTGGATACATCAGTGAATAATAATGCTCTTTGCTGTCATAGAGTTAGAATGGAGAGCCCAGTAATTAACAACACAGTGTATAGGTCATTTAATCGTTAGACCAGGACAGCCATAGATAAGGAAGAAATAGAGTAAGGCAAGCTGAAACTGTCTGGGTACCAAAATAGGGTAAGCAAGGTAATATTTGAGTGAATGTAACAGGGGCAAGGGAGTTTGCCAAGCAGGTATCCTGCAAGGGAGCATTCCAACCAGAGAGGGGCTGGTGCCCAGGGAGGGGGCAAGCCCAGGTGTTGGACAGCAAGCAGACCATTGTGGTTGAAGCAGAATAATCAAGGAAGTGCTACAGGAGGAGGTAAGATCCAGAGAGTTTCAAACAGCCAGATGACGTGGGGGTCTTTTAGGTCAGTGCAAATGAAATTTTTAAGTAATGTCATTTATGGCAAGGTTGTTAGAAAAGAAATGACATGATCCTATGTGTATTTTAGAAGACTCACCCTAGCTGCAGGGATGAGGTGAAAGCATAGAAGAGAGACCATTGTGGAGGCTTCCATATAATTCTGGTGAGACGTGGTGATGCTTGTTTTGTGTCCATCTCCCCCAGTAGACTGAAAGCTGCTGTAGAGAAGATCTGCCTTTTCCAGACTGTCCTTCCCAATGCAGGCTCCACACAAAGTAGGTGCTCAGCAACATGTGTTGGATGAATGGATATGTAACCTGGCCACATTACAGAAAGTGACTAAAGCTCTCAAAGGAGGTTAGGATATAGTGCAGTCAGCATGTAGGGGAGGGTGAAATTGTCTTTAACTTGTAAAATTTATAGTGGCAGAAATATTTCAGTAGGATTAGTAAGACTGGCAGTGATGAGGGTAACAGGAGTAGTAAAACCAATAACAACTACCATTTACTGAGGAGATACTGCATTCCAGGCCCTGTGCTCAATTCTACGCACTTTTCATCAACTGCCAAGACTGGAGAAGGGACTCTCTGGCACAGGAACTAGGAAAGAAAATCCTAGATTGGAATAGGAAGATGAGTTATTTCACTTTGCTAAAAAGCCTGGTGCAGTGAGACAGTTGAAAAGATAGGCTGAGCTAGATCATGGAAAACCTTAAATTTATGCATCACTACAATATGCTGGATATTATTTAGGTTTTGAAGTTGTTTATTTAGTGTGGAAGCTATAGGTTTAAAACTAAGCTTAGAGAAGATTAGTGTAACTCTTAGATTACCTCTGGATCATTGAGCTAGAGCATAAAACTAGACGGGCAGTTGTTTTTAAGGTCAAAATTACAGTTTTATCATTTGGAGGCACTGATGTGGAAAACAGAAAAATGACACACCCTGGTATTTGTATGAAGCTGTGTACTTTACAAAGCCCTTGCATATTTATCACCCTATTTGATCATCACAGCAACCCTGCTAGGTGGCATTGTTACCACATTTTACAAATTGAAATGATTTATGCAAAGGCAATCATACAGTCTGGCCTGTAGTAGATACTCAAGAAATGTTAGCTGAAGTTGAAAATAAGGAAGCACAGGCTTAGAAAGCCTAAGCCCAAGGTCATATTACTGAAAATAAGTGACAGAGCCATGACTTAAAGCCAGTGTGTGAGCTTGAGTCTAATTCTCTTTGCTTATTATACCCTAACACCAGAAAGCTTCAGAAGTTCTGGGAAAATGTCACATGAAAAAAAATCAAGCACAGTGCTTGATAGCTTATCTAATACAAATGCCTCATGTGGAAAACATTAAATACTACTTAGTAATTAGTAGAAAATTTAACATCATTTTAAGGGCTCCTGACATATGTGTACGTACACATATATTTATACCTACACTGTGTATTTCCTTCTATATATTATATACTATTCATGCATATGTATATGTATGATTGTGTCTAGATATTTTACAACCAAATATCACATACTGGGTCATTCAAATAACAGAAATTTACTGCCTCACAATTCTGGAGGTCAGAAGTCCAAGATCAAACTTTTGGCAGGTAAATGTCTTCTGAGCCCTCTCTCTGGCTTGCAGAAAGCTCTGTCTTTACTGTGCTTGTAGAGGTCTTCAACATCTCTTTGAGTGTCCGAATTTCTTTCTTTTATGTCAGATTAGATTAGCTCCCATCCCAAGAGCATACTGATAATATCTCCAAATACAGTTAGATTCTGAGTTATTGGGATACAGAGCTTCAATTTATGAATTGCAGGGGGCACAATTTACCCTATAACACATACATTTATTGATATTATTTTTGCTCACATGCATATGATAATGACTTTGTTTTTAGAAATCAGTGGTACCTCCAATCTTTTTCAGTGTTCCAAAGTATACTGTTTGCCCATTAAATACGAACAAGTTAAGGCCCTGGCGTGATGATGAGTGGTGTAGCATGGTGTGTCTGTAGATATGGCATGGGCTTTGGACTCCCCATGACCTTGGGTTTTGTCCTGATTCCACGGTCCTCTTCACCTGTATGGTGATGGAAGAGTTGCTTAACTTCAGCTCCTTCTTCTCATCAGCATGTTCAGGTGAGAGACCTTCTTGTAGCTTCGGGTGAGGATTAACAATAATCTACGCAAAAGTCCTGCTCAGGGACCATCTTTCTTAGGAGACTGGCTGTTCTGGTTCAGGGGCTGTGTTCTCTCAGTGAGTGGCACACTTGTACCAGACTATTTCACCTGAACAAGAGATCTACCACAAGGGCTACATAGAACAAAACAGGTGTGTTTCCTTGAGGGTTTTTGAGGATTAGTTTAGCCAGGATCTTTGTGTACTAAATACAATAGGCATCTAGTTCATGATTCCATGAAAAGCTTAAAATACAAGATATGTTCAAGCTACAAGGATAAAGAAAAATAGAATAATTATAAACTCTGGAGAATTATCTCAGTATAGTAAGCACCCTCTAAGAGTTTCTTCAGTAATCCCAAATTCTTGTATTTATACCCTGGTTCCATCCCTACCCTCCTTTGCATGTGGGCTGGACCAGTAATTTCCTCTGAGTAAATAGAAAGAGATAAAATGTGTGGAGACGTCACTTCTGAGATGTAGTTACATCAAGATTCTGGCTTTGGTCTTGTGCACTCCTTCTGCTGCATTTCTCACCAGCCTCTACCCTCTCGGTCTCTCTCTTTGCCAGATGTCATGTCCTGAGGACACCCAGACAGCTGAAGGACATGTCAGCATGGTGAGAATCACAGGATTGAGGTGAGCTTCCAAGTGGGTTTTCTTAATCCTGCCAGTGGCACGTGAGTCATCTTGGAAGCAGCTTCTCCAGCCCCAGCCAGCTCCACCCAGTAAGCTGCACACACATTCCTGACCCATGAAAACTCAGATAATCCACCTTTATTGTGTAAAGCTGCCTAGTTTTGGGTTACGTCGCCATGCAGGGACAGATAACTACCAAACCGGACTTGGAGCAAATCTTGTTTTACAAGTACAGGAATATTCACGCTTAATTCAACTTCTGTATTTCAATAGTATGTTGGATATATAAGTTTTATTATTAATTTTTTTGCTAAGACCTTAGCATATACAACAACATATATACATTCACAACAATAGCAGCAGCAGCAACAACAAAAATACAAAGAGACAAATGAAAACCAAAGAAGGGGAATAAGAAATTTAATCAGAAGTATATATACATGTAAGCAGAATGTTATTAGATTTCATAAAATAGAAAATAGATTTTCATTTTTACCCACTAGTAAAGAAGTCAGGCATGGCATTGTTGAAAAATACTTTGAGTATCACCATAATAAATCTCAGAATAATTCAAGATCAAAGCTCACAAATGAGATGGGTGCACAGGTCTCTGTCAGTTTAAAGGGTGTTGGAAGAAAACATAACAATGGGATCTCAAAAATAGGAGCAATGCAACAAAAGTAAACATTTTAAATTTTGGTTTCACTAGATCAGACTGCAGCATATTCATCCTCCACTTTTTTAAAAGAGTGCAAAATATATAATAGGATTGATAAATTATAACATACTTTCATGTTGTTTTTCATGTCTTGTATGTCTTGTCTGTTTCTTAGCTCAGTCATAAAATAGGTCAGGTTAAGTGCTTTTTGCCTTATTTTACAAATGGAAAAATGGAGATTTGACTCTTTTGGGATATAGATTGACTAAATTATCTTTCATTACAAAAATTTGAAAATTTTAGTTCATACCTGTCTTAATCACTGTCTCTTTGCTGGAACAAAATATCCACATCCAAAACTTAAAGTACAAGAGGGTTTTTATTTTTGGCTCATGTGTTCAATTCCTGGTCAGCCAGCTCGAAGGCAGAAGGACATCGGAGGGAGGGTTTGGGCAGTGGACAGCTGCTCATCCCGTACTGGCCAGGAAGCAGAGAACACAGGGAGGAGCCAGCGAGGGAGACACAACTTCCAGGTGACACCGCAGTGACCTGGCGTTTTGTGGGGACCCCACACCCTCACAGCACATTCAGTTTGACCTCCTGTGTCAATTGATTCAAGGACGAGCACAGTATTCCACCATCCCATCACCTCCCAAAAGCCCCACTTTTGACCTTTTGGGGGACATTTGAGATCTAAATAACAACAATACTTCATTATAAAACAGGTCCCTCTATTTATCTGCCCATCCGCCTACCTATTTACCTATCAACCTACTTTGCTACATTTCTAGTTGTTTGCCTTTCTATTCACCCAGCCACTCACAGGCCTGCCTATTATCTATCTTCTGTCTGTCTGACGATCTCAAGTGCCATAGGTAATACCCCTTAGGTGAGACAGAATGTCCCAGCATTGATTAAAATAACTTCCACTGAATGCATGCACTAAAATCTGGCCCTGCAACGAGAATATGTAACTCTGGAAGAGTATCTCAAGCTTCCCATGCAGAACCCAGGGACATTTATTTTTTAATTAAACATAATGCTAACAAATTTGCTTCCAAGAACAAAAGCAGATTCCATGAGGACAGATAAATGGCAGGGAGAGGATGACAGTAACCTGAATTATCTGAAAGCAAGGATAAGATAAAGGACAGTCAAAAAGTAACCACAGAAGTGGAAAGAGCAGTTTTTAAAACACTTTTATGATAGTACTAAACATTGTGACCTGTTTCAAAATACTACATAATAATTAATACTCATAGTTTTCACCCCTGAATCATTAAAATGCCAAAATAAGGTCAGCACATTTAAGAGACAAATTTATCGTAGCTGACGTATATTGGATATCTACTTTGTAGCCAGAACTGTGCTAGGTGCTTTACATACATTATCTCTAATCCTCTCAACCCTGGAGGTTTTGGAAATGAGAAAAATGAGACTTTGAGAGTTTAAGCCACTTCTTTAAGGTCATACAGATGCTAATAAATGTATAATCAGATTTTCCTGATTGAGAACTGTCTGAAGCTCTGTCCACCGTCCCACAGTACAGTCAAAACTGCACAAGGTTAACAAAAACGCCTAAGGTTATAGTTTGTTAATTTGAGCCAATTCTAGTATCACATGAGCTAGTCACACTAATCTTTGTGATTTGTTGAGGGGAGAAGGGTAAGTTTTCTGCTTGACAAGAACAGGATTTACAAAACTGAATTGGAATGATGCAGCAGCACAGCCGGCTGCTTTATGTACAGTGAGTTTTCTGAATCTTGAGATGATCATAGCCATTGCTCTTTAACAATTCCCTGGGAGTTTGGAGGTTTTATTTTTACACCGAAAAAGAAATGAATCACTAAGAACCGACCTTATTTCTAATAACCACGTCTCTCAAATCATATTTATCTAATATGCAATACTTCTAACAACTCATAAATGGTGAAGAAAGATTTTCTATGAGATGAATTGTCATTTTTTAGAGCACAAAAAGAGTGAGTTCAGCCTTTTTGGCAGTTACATTTAGCTAAGTAGTTTTTTTTTGTCTTTAATTCTTTGATGTCAAATGGATCCCTGCATTTTCAATACTTAATTACCGAATCTTCATCATCCCCAAATACGTCTATGCTTAATATTTATTAAAACCTTTTTTTCAGTGAGACAAACCTCTTCTACCATGTGAAATCTAATTTTCATGACATTTTATAGATAGGAACTAATAATACACAGTACTGTTGGAAATTATCATCCCTTATGCTACACGCTAAAATTAATTTTCCTTTTTGGTTTTTAATATGTTTCTCTTATTCTATTCAAAGAACAGTAGGGTGCCTTCCTAGCGATAACTTTGACCAGTCATTGTAAATTGCTATCTGAATGGACTGAAGAGTGTTTTACATGAACATTTCTATTAAATTTCCTATGATGTCACTTATGGATTCAAAAATAACTACTATGTTAAAAAAATAAAGGCACAGGAATATATAATCAAATATATTATGCTTAATTAAAATGATAAAGCTAAATCAGCTTATACAATTAGCTGTTGGTTTGATAGATTCACTTAGGTGCATGGTTGGAATCCATGATACTTATATGTACACAAAAATGTTTTATTTAAAATCTGAAGGATAAAATCAACTTTTAGGCCAAAATGTTTTAATAAATAACATTAATATGTTCATCTTTATACCAGTGCCGTAGTAAAGTATATTTTTACTTTTTAATGAAGAAAGTAGCTCATGAAGTCAATAGTGCATCAGAATCACATAATGCTTCCCTGATGTACTAATTTTACCAAAATTTACTAAGCTACCTGTTATTTTACAGGAAACCTGCCAAAATAAGGGATTAGTAGGATGGAGGAAAGTACAATGAAGTGAACCATTGACTATGAAGAAGACCCTCTCTTGCCCTTTTGGAATGCATGATTTTCTAATGAGTGGGAAAAAGATGTGAATTAATAATTGTATACAATGTAGTCATGGGATTACTGATGTGGAGAAGGTACCAGAGAAGTACCAAGGAGGAAGTGAACATCTCTGACTTGTGGGAGTGGGTGGGTGTATACAGAACATCATGCTTACACTGAATCTTGGAAATGAAACATACTAATATGGGCCAATGAAAGGGACTGTGCTCTTGGCAGATGAATGCAAGAGAGCAGCCTTTGAGCTCCCTCGTCCACAGCAAGCCACGGTCTGTGCCCTGCCCCAGAGTAGAGATGAATGCAGCCTCCTGGTGAGGGGGCTCTTGTCTGCCAAGGACAATTCCCAGGAGAAAGGGGCAGCAATCACAGCAGCTTGTGGATGATGTATCAGCTTGGCAAAGAGGATATGATCAGAGCACCAACAGCAACTACTCTCATTTTAATTAGGATGACAAAATAAAAATTAGAATTTAAAAAAAACCTGGAAATCAAGAAAAGAAAGACAGTAAAAACAAGAACCAAAATACTGACTTCTCCATTGAAAATCTGCCTTATTCTGTGAGCTTATAAATTTTTTCCAGTTATCCCCACAGAGCCTTACTTAACCTGGTGTCCACATTCTAATAAAAACAGATTTAATGTACAAACAAATTATTCAGCTCTTCTAATGGCACAGTTTGCTATCTCAAAGGAATATTGCTGAGAAAAAAATGCCACAGGCCATTGGATATGAGATAATTTCTAAGATTTTGAAAAAATAAATACTGCTGCTTCCTATGCTGTCTCCAAGTAATCATAATAATCTAGGAAAGTGCCTGACCAAAAAGTATCTCCCCAAAAGAAAAGCCCATTGGATAATTCCCCCTTTAGATCACATCAAAAGAAAGAAGCAAACCTTCTATCAATGGAGATTTTTCTCCAAGATCTCATCTGGCATAAAGATGTCTACTGTGTGTGGAGACACAGCTCTGGGGTTAAAACAGTGTACTTAGCCCCAGGGGTCTGGCTTTGACAGGCCCTAAAGACAGACCCCTCCCTTTGAGCCTCAAAAGTAATTTTGTTAGTTCTCATGTTGGTGTGAGCCTCCCAATTAGAATTCCATTAGATTGTTGTAACTTCAAACAGCCTCTGCTTTCGTTCCTATGGTTCTCACAAAAGGAAGAAGTCCACGTTTAACTCGGGCCATGGACACCTTGGATTACTCCAGTGAATCTGCATTGCCCTCCCATAGAGTACATGGCTCTGTATTTGAATTTGGATTTAGTGGTAACTAAAGCAGGCTTTGTACTTCCCAGAGCTCTGCCCAGCAACACCAGGCAGTAAGAAAAATGTCTGGCCTGGTATGTGGTTTCTTTTGCTGCAGTCATCTTTACCTGCTGCTTGGGGTTGATTTTTTTTTAATCTCCTTTATTTTGTATGCCTCTCACAGTAGGAAGTTTAGAATGATTCAGCATTCCATTGGAAAAGCCTGATGGGGGCTCAGACAGATAGGCTCGAGCACCGTGAAGCTTAGCTGGGATCCAGCTCCTGTGCTGCTTGCATTCTGAGCCCCCGATCACACCGGAAGCCAGACGGTCCTTGTGGCTTTGCACAAGATGTTGTGAATATAAATTTGGAGAAAATAATTAGTAATAATAATTTCTAAGAAAACTGAGGTCAAAGCTTCCATAATGCCTACTTTTCTCTTAAATTTATACCTAATTATGTTACATTTAAAAATATGACAAATGCTTAATGCATTTGGCATAGAAAGAAGAACCAATTAACAAATGAACACTCAAAAATGTTTCTCTGAGAAACCATGTTGTCACGCAGCCTCTGTAATTAAAATTCTTTAAGCCTCAGATTGTCCTTGAACTCATGAGCTCACAAGAAGTGAAATAAGCAGCCATTGCGCACACAATTCCCCCACACCTTCTCAAGCCTGCACTTCATTTGCCATATTTTTTACATTAAAAAAGAAGTAGAATATATATTGAGGATATGCTCCTAAGTGAAATAAATAAGTCACACATGTGTAAATCCCGAATAGTTTCTCTGGTGTGAAAAGCATAATAGTACATAAGATCCTAATGATATAATTGACCATGTGAAATAGGAAGAAAAGGGCTAAAGGTGTAGGGAAAATGGGAAGGGTAGGGATAAGATAATCAGGGAAAAGAAAAAATATGACAAAATGAAAAAAATGGAAATAAAGTGTTTGTAAATGGGGAGGGGAAGAGGGGATGAAGGGAGGGCAGGGACAAGGGGAAAAAAATAAGAACCAAGAGCTGTCATGTAAAGGTACAAGATCCCAATAATGAATGTAATTGTACTGTATACCTAGGATGTACCAATAAACTCAATAAAAGAAAAAAAAAAAAGAAGTAGGATGCTCAAAAATGGGTAGACTTTCCCATGACTTATTACCAAGTACTAACAAGGTGAGTTCTAAGTAGAAGGTTCTTAGAGGAGTAGAAAGTCTTGAGTGACCCTAAATTTTCTAGCCTGGGAAGCTGGGAGAACAGGAGAGAATTAATGGGCACTTGGGAGCGGACTACTCTGGAAGAAATGTAACACTGATTTGGGGTACGATCTATATGAAGGGCCTTGGGATATCTAAGTGGAGATTCCACTTGGAAATAAGAGGAGTTGATGAGAAGTGAGACACCCTGAAAAATCTGAGTCATTTTCACTCTTTGTACCTTAGTGTATCTCCCTCCCTAAATATTGCAGATTTTTCTCTTCCCACTCACCGGCATTGAAGGAAGAGAGGGCTTGGAAGAGGAGACATCACGACCAGGCAGGCCTGTGGACAATTATGCAGTCAGGACATCCTGTGAGGAAGGGGACAGCAGGGAAAGGCTCCGCCAGCCCCACTCTATATGTTAATACTTTGAATGGGTTTGTCCTGATGAGAATTCAGGAGTTAGAAATTGGTCAATTTTCATTCCCATTCAACTGATAAGGGGCAGTCAGTTAGATACTTTGAGCCCCAGGAGATGACGGGCTTGGTCTTCCCTGTCCACATGACTAAAGGAGGCCACAATTTCTAATAATTTCTTCTCCCAGAGGGCAGAGAAAGGGAATGAGGAAACTGTTGGTCTGCTCCTAATTCTGAACCACAAGGGGAAATTGGTTGATGAAGTAGAAGTGATTGAATCCTACGGGGAAAAGTGTGCATTCCCTGTCATCCGAGAGCGACTACTGAGAGTGAGGAGGTCGGACGGCTGTGTCCCTTGGACTTCAGGAGGGCTGGGGTGTTAAGAGGAAAGACAGATTGGCATAATTCTACTGCCAAATTCTTGAAGGGAAGAAAGTTTTAGACACCCAGAAAACATTCAGGAATAGGATCCTAACTGCACTTTCAAGTAATCTTAAGAGAGTATGAAGAGGGAGACGAAATGGCAGGAGTGATAACTCAGAGAACAGAAATTGTCTGACCAGCTCAGATTTTAAGTGGACATGCACAATCTGTTAATAAGAGAGGCTTAATTTATCCAAATCAGGAAGCTTTTGTGCAAGGATATCAAGATTTATTTAGTTGGAGCAAACCTTTCCAATTGTTTTTTCTGCTTCTTAGTTTACAGGGGGGAGACAGGCTCACAGGCGCTAAATGACTGATTAAAAATTCCAGTGACACAAACATGGCTACAATAAGTTTTTGTTATTTTCAGTCCAGGTTTGTGTCTTCTAGATCGGTGTTTTCTAAATGATGATCTGAGTTTTCTGAGGGGCCCTTGCTGTACCCCACCCTTTACCAACACAAACCTCTCTTTCAACTAAGGTCGTTACTTTATAAATATAGTGACAGCATATAATACAATTTTTAAAACAAGTTCTGCTGTTGTGTTCGAAAACCTGCGCTGCCTTGCCCTTTCATTAAGGATGATTCCAAAATTACCCCTAAGAATAATAAACAATACTGTGTCTGAGTTAAATGGAAATGATTAGGAGACAGGTTTAAATAGGTTTGCATTTAAAAAAATGTTAAGTACAGGTATTCTCCAAAAAGCTGGGGCATGTAGAGAGGAGAGAAGGAGTCCAGATCTATAAGAACCTTCAGAAAGTCTAGAGCTAGGAATTGATTGGAGTTTCTAAAAATGTCAATGAAAAGCATTTTTAAAATTATAAGTTGAAGGTGATGGTCAAGGGCCACAGCTTTGCTAATGTGTCCCCTCAATTTTGATTACTAGTGTTAATTGTCTTGGGATTCTTATCACATGCTCAAGTCTCTAATTATAATTTTTAAAATATTTTAACTACCATGTACCAACACCTAATGGATCCTAATGTGATAGTCATTTAACCAAATGGTTTTGGAAAATGAGATTCGACTCAACACCTACGGTTGGCTATTTGGCTAGAAAATCTATACAGTTTTGCACATTCGTTCGGGCATTTCAATTTCTCTACTGTGCCTTCTTCTACTCCTGTGAAACCCAACCCAATGTGTGTGGCTAACAGAGTTTGGGCTGCAGTACCTTGTTAATGGTGAGTTGCAGCCTGTTTGATTTTTTTCCTATGGTTCCCTCTGCAGAGAACTCTTCTGGGGCACTTTGTGACCTGTCCGTTCTTGCTTTCTGCTGAATCTGCTTATGCAGGGGTTGGCTCCTGTCAAGGCCTCGTGTTACCTGGCTGCTTCCAAAACTTCTGGCTCAGCACCTCATGTTGATCAGGAAAATGACTTACCACCAACCAAAGAAAGAAATTGTTTTCTGCTACTCATGTAAGAGGATTCATCCGGGGGCTGGTTGTCGGTCTGCTCAGGTTGGGGTCCTGCTTTAGCAAGGTGTTGGGTGCAGGGCACATAAGCCATGGCTTTCTGTTTCTGCGTTTTTTCTAAATGAGTTCTTGTGCTAAAATGTTTGAAAATTTGCATCACCCTATGCCCTTTCATTAGGCGTGATTCTAAAATTAACCCTAAGAGTACTGAAGCAGTGGGTGTTGAACTTTGCCTATTGCTCTAGACAGGCACCTAATGTATTCAAAGGCTTGAAGGAATGACATGCACATGAGTGTCAGCTGATGAGCACTTTCACTGCCTTTGTGTATCTCACACCCCTGAATCTGCCCATGGTTTTATGTATGGGAAGACCAGTTTTATAACATGAAATATTTAATTTATACAGATTATGACACTAACCTATATCTGCAGCCTCATTTCCCTATTTTCCAACCACACTGAATTGATTACTGATTATTAAAATTACCAGATCTTTGTGTAACTGTACATCCTTCAGTGCTTTCCCTTTCTTTCAAATACCTTGACCTTTCTTTGCAAGGCAGACTTTTATATTGCTGCCAAGAGCCTGGTCAAATGATTCCCCTCTGTGAAGCTGTGCAGAGTGTCTGAGGCAGCACCCACCTGCTCTTTAATCTACCATAATGATTGATACATTTCTTCAGTTTGTTTATCTGTTCATTGCTACCCTAAAAATAAAGCAATTTGTCCATTGCTGGATTAGTTGAATCCAAGACACAAAACCTACTTGGGGTTTTCAGTGAATGCTTTGCTGCAACCAGAACTTCTTTCACCACTGAAGGACTAAATGTTCCCCAGCCTCTAAAGAGGTGTGATGCTTGAAAGCTTATGGTGTTAGCCCTCTCTGTGAAGTCTTAAACTGAAGAAAGCTCATTGAAGACCATGATTTCCCCCATTCCTGAGCATCCAGTAATTGATCCATGAGGTGAAGACCCAACTCCTTTCTCCAATTTAGGACAACTCTGAAAGACCACTGGTTGCCCTGAGTTCTTTGTCATGATTTCTTAGGTCTCGCTGTGGCCATTCTTCCTCCTTACTTTCCACTACAAATGATATTCTAACAGCCTCCCCTCATGAACTCCTTGGATGCTCAACTCAGAGCTGCCTTCTCAGAGAAGTGACCTGCAAGAGGGCTTACCGGGCCCCAAAATAGTAACCTTCTTCTCTGCATGAATTCTCAGCAGCCTCCTAAATAGGATAGCAGAATAAGAGAGATAGTGCTATGGTTTGGATATAGTTTATTCCTACAGGCTTGCGTGTCAGAAGCTTGGTTCACAGTATAGTAATGTTAAGAGGTGGTGAGACCTTTAGAGGAAGTGAAGCTGAGTGGGAGGTCAATGTGGGTACTTGAAGGGATTAACTCATTCTCATCAGAATCCAATCAATCAGTTACTGCCAGAGTGAGTTGTTGTAAAAAGATAATGGGCCCTCCTCTAGCTCACTCTGGCTTCCTGTGTCTCCATGTGTTGCCTCCCTTTCACACACACTCCTGCCATTATGAGATCATCCTTTATGACATGACCCAGCCAAGGGAGCTCTCATCAAGAGGCCAAATTGGTGGAGCTAGTGGATGTTAGACTTTCAGCTTCCACAATTCCAAGTTAAATAAAGCTCTTTTCTTTATATATAAAACCCAGCCTCAAGTGTTTTGCTATAGCAACAGATAACTAATATACATAGGAAAGCAAAATATCACTCTTACTTCTGATAAAATTAGTACTGAAAATGTTACTTTCCTCCCCAAAAAGATGCAAGGAGGTCCACAGAAGGAACCAAGAGTCAGAGAGTAGAAGTTAGCAAGCTTTTTTATTGTATGACTAGAAGAATTCACTCTTAGGCAAGGCTTTTATTGGAGAGGATAACACACATAAGAAAAATCCAAGCAAGAAGAGAGCAATGGTATTTCTGAACTCAAAAGCAGTAATCATAAAATAGATTGATTGGGAATTCAATAAAATTTAAATATATTTTCATTAAAAGATGAAGATAGTGAAAGTGAAAGCCACAAAGAGAAGTAATTGGCAATATTATATATATATATATTCAGCTAGGACATGCATCCTTAATATACTACATGCTCCTACAAATTTAATTACAAAAAAGACAGAAAACCCAGTAAAGAGATGAGCAAAAGGCTCAAACAGGCACTTCACAAAGAGCAGATCAGAAAGGCAAATAGGACTATGAAAATATTGGCAACATCATCTGGAAGATGCAAATCAAATCACAGAGAGATCAGTCCACATCACATCTGCCACAGCAAAACAGACCTCCAACATCAAATATTGACAAGGGTGTATATAAATGGAACTTTCCTATTTTTCATGTGAATATAAATTGGCATGACCAATTAGATAAATTGTTTAGCAATAGGCATAGAAGCTGAATATAATCCTATTTTATGATTCAATTATTCTATACCTAAATACCCAAGAGTATCTACTATAATGTTCATAGCAACTCTACTCATTAAAACAAATAAACAGACAAAACCAGGAAACAACAACTGAATGAATAAATTACAGAATATTCATATTACAGACAGCTGCAAAAAATAAAAATATGGAGAGAACTGCCCACTGTAGAGTCACATAGGGAGCTCGTAACTCCTCCTCCTCCACCTCCAGCTCCCCAGGCCTCCGTTGGATCAGACTGGTGAGAACCATCCACTGCCCATCCCCACTCTCCCACCCCCTGCTCTCTGTACTTCTGGCTGTGCCAGTACCTGGATTCACACTGCAGAGACACAGATGGTCATAGAGCCCATATTACTCAGCTCCAGAAGATACAACAGAAGTGAACAACAGAAATAAAGCCACATCAGATCTCTGTAGTTGATAAGTTGGGCAATCACCACCTTCCAGTACAACTTGGACTGTCTTCAGGGAAAGGACAGCTAGAACCTGCAGTAGACTCTTGCAGAGTTTAACAGTGCAGGAGATCAGGAAGCTTAGTTGGGTCTTGTAGCCAGAATTCAGCCTGAATTCTCAAGGGGCTGCCATTGACTAGCTGAGACTAATTGCCTTAGTTCTGCACATTGCTGCCCACATTGCTGCTGTTGTCTATTGGGACAACAGCAATATACCCTGGAAGAGGCTCTCCAAATTTTTTTTCTTTTCCGTTTATTTTAATTTTAATTTTTAAAATTTTATTTTTTGCCATTCTGAAAATTCTTCCTTTTTTCTTTCTTCTTTATCCCTCTCAGTCTCTTGCTCCCCCAAATTATTCTATATCTCCCTTTTTGTTCCTGTTCCTGCCCTAATTCGAATTTTTTCTTTCTTTTTCTTTTCCTCTCTCTTTATTCTTCACTCAATGGTCATTGGTTTTAAAGAAGAGTGAGTACAATTTATAACTTCCCTATTTCTGTTAAATTGTTCTATTCTTGTCTTTACTCTTGCACTCTGTGTTTCCCTCTTGTCTTAAACAGTTTCCTAGAGTTTGCATGATCATCCTGTGTCCTCTGGCTTCATTTGAAACCTTCTCCTATTCCTTTACTTATCTGTTCTTCTCCTCCTAACTCCTTCTAAGTCCCCATCCTGAAGGGTAAAGTTGCTATACTGAAGACTTTATTCACTATAAATATATTTTGGGCTGGTCCTAGATTTTGATTTAATTCACATGGTTAAAGGAGATAGATTAATAACTACCACAAATAGTCAACTTCTAAACTGTGCTTGATGTGTTGTGTTGCTGTTGTATCAATTGTGCTAAAGGGTTGTGATTGATTTAATGAGTTGTCCTTTTTTATATTATGAAAATGAGAGTGTCTCTGAGTCATAAGAGACTCAAAATCTAAAGAGCAGCTATACCAGGAAGATTGAAGTACTAATCCAGGAATTAAAACAACCACCAGGACACCCTGACCTCATAGCAGAGGAAGTAGCAAAACAGATCAATCAAGCTCTAGAAAAATTCAAAACAGAAATAATTTCCCAGATAACTGCAGAGTTGGTGAGCACAATGAAATACATGATTAGAGATGCTAGAACAGAAACAGACAAAAAAGTAAAGGAGCTCAGAACCATGACAGAAGCCATGAATGCCCAGCATAGGAAAGAAATGGAAACCTTGAATGCCCAACATAGGAAAGAAATAGAATCCATGAAACAGATTCAAACAGATACCCAGGAGATTAAAAAGTCTATTGAAAACATTCACAACAGAATGAATGAATGTGAAGATAGAATTTCAGATCTAGAAAATAGGACTGCAGTCAGTGACCATGAAAAGATAGATCTCTTAAGAATAGTAAGGGATCATGAGAATCAATCCAACAACTCCTAAATGTTGTAAAGAGATTAACATAAGACTGATAGGAATCCATGAAGTAGCAGGAGAAAGTACAAATGACATAAAAAAAAAAACTGTTAACAGAATTAATAACAGAAAACTTCCCAAACAAAAGGGAAGAATTTGATACAGATAAGTGAGGCATATAGGACTCTAACTAGCCATGATAAAAAAAAAAAATCTACACCTAGACACGTAATAGTCAAGATCCCAGAAACCGAACAGAAGAACAAAATACTGCAAGCAGTTAGAGAAAAGAAACAAATTACATACAAAAGAAAACCCATGAGAATCACAGCAGAGTTTTCAGCACAGACCCTCAGGTTAAGGACAGCTTGGAGTGAGAAATTTCAAGACCTATAAGAACATAACCTTCAACCTAGACTGGTGCATCCTGCAAAACTGTCTTTTAAAATGGATGGGGAAATAAAATACTTCATTGACAAAGAACACCTGAAGAACTTCATGAATACCAAACATATAGTGGACCATGACACTACAAACAATTCTAAATAATATATTAGAAAAAGACAATGAAGGTCACAACAACATGAGGCCCAACAGAGCAAATCAAATAGGCAAGGCAAGAAACTAAAGGGGGGGGGAATTAAAAAGAGCCAAGAACAGGACAATAACATGACAGTGATAAGTCAATACATATCAGTTATAGCCATCAATGTCAATGGGCTCAATTCACCAATCAAAGGAAACAGACTGGCTGAATGGATTAAGAAGCAAAATCCAACAATATGTTGTATACAAGAAACACACCTAGTTAAAAAAGAAGTGCATAGACTGAAAGTGAAAGGATGGAAAACAGTTCTCCATGAGACAGGAGCCCAGAAAAAAGTGGGGGCTGCTATTGCATTCACAGACAAAGTAAATTTCAAAGCAAAACTGATTAAGAGAGGCAAAGAAGGTCACTACATCCTTGTAAAGTGGACAATCCAAGAGGAAGAGATGACAATCATAGATATATATGCACCAAATATTAATGCCCCCAAGTATATAAAATAAATATTAAGGGACATGAAAAATCAAACAAACACTAATGCAGTTATAGTGGGGGACCTAAATACCCCAATTTCACAAATAGACAGATCATCTAGACAAAAACATCAACAAGGAAATACTAGAACTGAACCAAACTTTTGAACAAATGGACTTAATAGACGTCTAGAGTGTTCCACCCCACAAAAATCAGAAATACATTCTTTTCAGCTCTACATGGGTCATTCTCCAAAGCTGACTACATACTAGTTCATGGAATATGTTTAAATAAATGCAAAGGAATAGAAGTTATCCTATGTATTTTATCAGACCATAGTTCAATTAAGCTGGAGATCAATAGAATAAGAAACCATAAGAACTCCACAAATACATGGAAATTGAACAACACTCTCCTGAACAATCAATGAGTCACAGAGGAAATTAGACAATTTTTACAAATAAATGATACTGCCAATACAACATATAGGAATCTATGAAACATAGTTAAAGTAGTTCTATGTGGAAAATTCATAGCAGTGAATGTCCACACTAGGAAAACAGAGCAAGCTCAAATAAACAACCTAATGATGAATCTTAGGCTCCCAGGAAAAGAAGAGCAAGAAAAACCCAAAGCTCATACAAGGGAAGAAATTATAAATATCACAGTAGAAATCAATGCAATAGAAACTAAGAGAGTGATACAAAAAGCAATGAATCAAAGATTTGCTTTTTGAAAGAATAAATAAAATTGATAAACCATTAGCCAAATTTGTCAAAAAAAAAAGGA